ATATTAACATTTCCCAGTTCTTTCCATGGAACCACTCCTAGAGATTGTTTCTGTGAAGACACGACAGACTTCCCCGTGCAGGAGACCTGTTGCCAGATTAGCCGAGGTTACAACCTGAGTGTGCTGGATATGCTTTGTGAATACTATCGCGTGAAAAATTTTGTTTTGTACTTGGAGTGCCTTTTTGCTGGTTTCTGCATAATTTCCTTCCAGAGTGGATTAAACTGAACTGCACAAAGGCATTCTTGGTGTGGATTATTCTTTGCACAGAGACTTAAAGCTCAGGGGTCCTCTGGGCTGTTTCCCTGAAGGGACAAGTACTCGGGGAAGTTGAACGGACTTCACTAAAGCAGCGGAGTTAATGAGTCTTATGTCCTCTCTGGATCATCACTTTCAGAGGGAAGATGATCTTTAAACTATAATCCCTTTGCAGCATAAGGTCATCTTATTTCTGCACAGGGTTGTCCGCACAGAGGATGAATACGCTTGCATGCGTGTATGAAATACATTCGTATCCTTAGGCTTGTGGTCTGGCTGGTTTGCTGTGGTCTGGCTGGTTTGCTGTTTCAGAAAACTTTTATAAGTGTCAGCAAATCACAGCTCTTCACAAGATAAGGACCTTTCTTTGTCCCATTCATGGTAGATATTCGGCTCAGAAAAATGGGCTGAAATAGCGCTTGTATAAAGAAGAATATGTATTTGTAACAGAAATGACATATTTGAAAATTGGCCTTAATTGATTTAAAGGAAAAGTGAAATGAAGAAGAAAAGCATTTGGTGCTTTTGGGTTGGGGAAAGTAAAATGGCATCCTTCAGCTTTTTTCAGACAATCAGAAGTAAATTTTTGTCACAGTGCAAAATGAAGTACAAGAGAAGCTTTTAATTTATCAATAGCACTGAGAAATATTAGCCAGGGAAATTATTAGCTGCTCCAATAAGAGAAGTTTAATTAAACACTCTTAGACTAGAGCTTTGGAAAGAGTTGTGTTTGTTTTGGTTTGGTTTTTTTAATACAGTGTTTACCCTCACTAATTAGTATGAGAGAGAAGATTTGTGTTTTTTGCATGTTTTTGTATGTTAACAAGGCGATGGATGTTTTTGATTATACACTTTGGAATGATGCCCCGTGACTTTGTAAAGCCATCAGGTAGTTCAGTAAATAGGTTTGTTTACAAGGGACTGCTCAGAAGAATTATTCTGAATTAATGTTTTAAAATAGATTAATTAAATTGCATTAAACTCGTGTGGAAAAACTAATCTGGAATTCAGGTGAATTTAATTTAGTTGCTTACAAATATTAATTAATTAAACAAATGCTTCTTTAATTTAGCACACTTTATCTAACCTGCTTTAAATGTATACCTTTACTTGTCTCTGATTATTTTTTCTGAGGGTTCCACTACTAAAGCCACCTCCCAGCAAGTGGTTGTAGGAATGCTCAAGACTTTTTGCTCCCCTTTTTGGCTTTGTTTCTGAATATGGAAAGCCAAGAACAGGGAGGAGTGTTTCTCTTCACTTTCAACTCATAATACGTAAATAGGGAAATTAATATTTTTAAGTTTTGATGGGTGATGAAATAGACTATATTTATTATTAGAGGATTTATTTCTGTTAGTCAATATTGATGCTTGCTCTGTCTTGGAATCTCAGGACTGTTTTCTCAAATTTTGAAGGAATATTTTTTTCCTCTGGGAGCTCAGAGGGAACTAATGCAGTATGTTTGCTACGTGTGATTGTTTCCATTATTCGCTGTGATTAGAATGTGAGACAATTTTTAATTTGTGCTGCTTTCTACAACGGGAATGGGTTTCTGGTGTGTTTATTAGGCAAGGATTACCAAAGTAGTGTCTGGCCTGGGGTGGGGAAAGGGTGGACAGTGAAAGAGCTGATCTGGGAACTGTCTTACATGATGCAAGAGGTCTGAAGGGTTGGAAACATTTGTGGTAACTGGGATTTGAAGGCACCCAGGGCTGAAGTGGGGGGTGGAGGTGGGAGGAAATCCCTCTGATACACACCGTAACCTGGTTTTCAGTTTTTGCGTTGGGTGGGAGTTGAAGCAGTCTCTTCCAACCCCCCAAAAAGCCTGCTGGGAGAAGTGATGAGTGCAGTGTACATCCACTGAAAGAGCTCAGCTGGAGGCAGTTTGACTTTGGCTGGCCAAGGCCTCCTGTAGGCTATGTGTTAATGAGATATTTTCCGTTGTCTGGTATAAGCTCTCTTCCCATACCTCTCCCCCAGATAATGCCAAACTGACTATAAAGTATTGCTCTGTTGATCCAACTTCCACGTGCTAGTTCGGGGAGGAAAAAGTGGCCACACTTCATGTCCCTGTTGTAGTTTATCCTTGGCTTCCTGGCTTTGTGTTAATACTTCTTTCCTATAGCTTAATATTTGTTCCAGGTAATATTTCAGCATTGGTTTCTTAATGCCAATGTACATATAATTAATTTAGAATTAATAGGGACTAGGGTTTCAGCCAGAAGGAAGGAAAGAGGGGGGTGAAAAAAGAATAGAAGGCTGGGAACATAATAGCAAATTTGAAGAAAATAAGTGTTTTACACAAGGAAGTGCTGGTAAATACTTCACTGAGTGATATATGTGGAAACTATATTGGCGAAGTTATTCTGAATTTGTTGACTGAGGCTTTTTATAGCTGACAAACTAATCTAACTCCTCTAATCCTGTTAAATTTTATCCGGCTTTTACCGTTTGTTCCGAAAGCAAGGTTAGACCACTGCTAAAATTTTCTATTATAAATTAAAATTCTGAATTTGGAAGAGGGGCATTTTATTCAAGTTGTGGTAGCTGCTGTGGTGGCAGTACCCAGTGTAGTTTACTTGGGCATTGCTTTCCTAATCCGCACGTCTAGTGTTAATTACAAATATATTTGTTTTCCCCTTATGTTTTGGTACAGGAGCTCACTGCCTCTGGTGACAGAAGTATGTTTTGTTCTGCCTGTTGAGAAGGCAAAAATATGTTCTCTCAGGATGTTGGCTAATTGCCTGTGAGCTGTGTCTGACTTACTGAAATTGTAATAAAATTTGTTTAAATGGAAATAAATACTAATGTTATGCACACACATTGCCCTGTGTGTGTAGTAGCTGTTCTGCCAGTCATAGCTTGGTCGTTGTGCTCTTGTTTAAAGACTCCGTGACAGAATATTTTGGTGGTGCTTTTCTGATGTGAGGTTGGATACTTTCAGACGATGACCCCTGTGAGGTGGAGAACAGATGTCAGAAGTGTGAAATTATTTTTTGTTTGTGTTGAAGAAAGGTTTAATGCCAGTGATTTTTGTTTGTTTTTCTTGAAATAATGAATTTTGGAAGGCTAAATGTGCATCACGTGAAGTGGATTTAAACAAAAGCATTGCAAATCCTTTGGAATATTTTGTAAAATATTGATGCATTTGTAGCTGTAACTTGTTTAAATGCAACACGTGAAGTATCGGTGAAATCGGGAATTGTGTAAACAGGCAAAGTTTAAAAGTTGGGCTCTGGTTTGTCCTTTTTTAGTGTTTGGAGTGGCGGGTGTCTTCCTTCAAGTTGAGGGCAGGGTTCTTAATATTACTTAGCGGTATGTAACATTATGAAACAGTAACTGTAGCACAGCTGTTTTATTATGTTAAGCCTGGCTGGTTACCAGGATTTCTCAGAAATGGCAAATAAAATTTGCCAAAATGGCATCCATATGCACTCATGTATTGCCAGGTTTTTTTGGGCGTGCTGCCACAGTCTGTGCTGTCCCAACAGTTTTTTCACCACGATCAGAATTTCAAATGACTCAGTATTGGCAGTGCTGGTATTTTGAGTAAACAATTCTGATACGTGGGGAGTCCTCCTTTTGCCATGGGCTTTCACAGCGCGCAGCGGTTGCTCAGGCTCAAAGTTCTTCTGTGGGTTGCGTTGCTCTCTTCAAAAATTTGTACTCCACCTGTCTGGCTTAATGGCTTTCTTGTGCTCATTTGGATTTGATTCAGTGTCAGCGTTAAGGGATGAATTACCATTTCCATTGGTAAACCTCAAATTATCTCTCTAGTGTTTTTTGCTTCAGGTTAAAAAGGAAAAAAATCGGCTGATCTCTTGGTATTCCTTGTCCATCCTTTTATAAACTGTGGGAAAGCACAAATATGAATGGTTCCAGCGATTTTAATTCAATTTTACAGGCTGAAGGTTTCTCTTAAAACACTAATAAATAACCTTGACAGAGAATTCCAAGGGACAAGGGCTGAGAAATATTTTGGCTTTAAAATTGGGACCATATTCTAGAATAGTTTCATCAGAACTGAGCTGTAGAAAAATAAGGCAAGTTCAATAGCCAGGAAAAAAAAAATCAAGTTTTGCGTCAAGTCTAGTTGTAATTAGCTGCAAGGAAGCTCCATGTTCTCACTGAATGTTTATGAAGATTTTAGAAGCCTGTTAAAATTCATATATGTAAGGATCTTGTGCGTATATAGGTCGTTACAGAATGCAGTAATTGCAAATCTGATGTGGCTTGGGAGCTTCATATGCTTTTGCGACATCAAGACTCAATACTAAAGTCTGATCTCTTCCAAGAGCTAAGTAATAATTTGTAAATTAAACCCCTGCAATTTAGGAATGGTCTCGCGTGGTCTTAAAACTTCTGAAACAAAAAATCAGTGTAAAAGAAAACATTTTATTTTGTATTTTATACTGATGAGCTGCCAAATCCCTGAAGCTAAATCTTTTCTTTATCCATTGGGAAAACGCAGAAAGGTGGATCAGCAAGGAAAGCTTGAGCTCTTGTCTCAGTCCTAGTGTGGAAAGATTACTCACAGAGGTGATGGAGGCAGTTCTGTCCTTGGCTCTTTGACGAGGCTATCAAATAAAGTAGCGGTTGATACCACTGGGCGATCACTTTGTGGTTTGGTCACTTCTGTTAGGAACGGCATCTCCTTTTATAGAGGAAGAATGAAAAAATAAATGCTGTACTGCTATATCAAGTATATCTGTATTAATGCCTTTCTTGCTGCTGTTTTTCAGGATTGCATGACTTGTAAAATTACTGATTTGGGGGCCTGCAGTGGTGTTTGACTGGATATTGCTGCCTGGTTCTGAATGATGTCAGAACAGGATTTGGCAGATGTTGTTCAGATTGCTGTTGAAGACTTGACTCCAGATAATCCAGGTACAGTAGAGATGGTAGTGATGGCACAAGAAAGATAATTTCTAGTACTGCCCATTAACAAGGTGGAAATCACTGCTGAGCTTTTCTTAAAAATATAAAGCAATGCTGCAGATTTTTTTTTCTGAGAGGCTCTCGTTAAAACTACATACCAAGTTTTCAATAGCTTAACTTGGATATCTTCAATACCCTTTAGATCAGGTTATTCTTTTATTTTACTTTTCTTTTGAAGGCTTTATTGCCTGGGGCTTTTTTTGTGCAGAGGTAGACTAGTGCTGAAAACTGAATGAAATATGGCCTCCTGCATTCTTTTGGTTTTCTCCAGACCAAATACATGTTTTAAGCTCTCCCTCAAATGAGAGCTGTGACCCACCTATAATGAATTGTTGTTTTAATTGTAAAATAGTTTCTTGCTTACATTATTAAAATTCTTTGTATGTATGGGAAAATGACAGTAACATTGAAAAACACTTCTGAAAGCAAATACTGTGATATCCCTCGCTTAGAATTGACCTACTAAGCAAAAATGTGTTGAGATCAGCTACAGGCATCAATCCTATGCTGCCATTACGTTTGAGTAAGTGACTGAAAGAACAGTAGCTGCAGTTATGGAAAATAGAAACACATATAAACCCCCCCATTTTTTCTGATGCAGAAAGAAAAAGTTACTTCAGAAATGTTCCCAAAGAGTTGGAGGACAAGCTGGGACCTGTCTGTCCTAGCCTGGCTGGTAGCTTGGCGTTCAGGGTTATCAGCTGGGGTATGGTCAACCTTAAACAAGTCTTGCTTTCCTCAGTTTGGTAAAGGAACTCAAACCTGGTCAGATCTTGGGTGATGCTCTGACCATGAGGCTGTTCAGGGCTCTACCCCTTGATTTTAGCAGCCAGGCCTTCCAGTTCTAAATTCTTTTTCGTTACTGTTTTCTTCAAAATGTTTACCTTCAGATGAAAGGCTATTAGAACCTATAGGTCTGCATATGTATTTATTTTGGAAAGCTTGCAGGATTTTGTTCATCTATACTGGGGGAAAATAACCCGCAACTACACTGAGTAGTGGGTGCAATCCTGACTTTGTACAGAACTTCATTAGTACTTCTTAAGGCTTTGTATAAACATGAGGGTTCAGAAGCCTGTAGCATCTGTCAAAGCAGAACAGCTCATGTGGCAACTCTGCTACCTTGTGGTAAGTTCCTAATTAAAAATTCCATGGTGATGCTTGAATGTTACATCCTCAGTGCATTTGAAACAGAGTCTTAGATTTGGATAAATGTTTTTTGGGAAGCATTAAACCATTGTCACATATTTAAGAGAAAACCCAAGTAAGTGTAAAAGAATACATCCAATATGTTAATGAAATGTCTTTTATATTTTTTTGTTTTACCGATTTAATATATTTTAATTTGAACCTTGTCCTCTTGTATTCTAAACTACGGCAATGCTCATTTTTCTTCGCAGTTGTGTTGGAGAATCATGAAGTGACAGATGATGATGTAGAGCCTGCTCTGAAACGTCAGCGTATAGAAATTAACTGCCAGGATCCCTCTATTAAGGTTACGATAATGCCTTTTTCTGGTTTTATTCGTAATACCAATTAAGTCAGCTTTCTTGGGGAAATATATTAAAATAAAAGAATGTAAAAGAAACTGTTTATACATAATATTGGAATTATTCATAGCCTTCCTGTAAATGTTTGTACATTTTTTTTGGATAAATTTTAAAATGTGGATGATTGGCTAATCTTCCAGTGTCAAATCAGTAGCAAGAATTTTATATACGATACAAAATGTCATCAGAATTAATTCCAGTGACTCAAACATCACTATTGGTACATTTTTGATAAAGTCAATGAAGTTGACCTAAAAGATAAACTTGAGAATGTGTTTGTATTACAATTTGTAGACTGTTTCAGCATGTTTTAAATTATTATTTGAAGCTAATGTCGTTCTCATAGTAGTTAAGCCGTATTTGATTCAGCCTTTTCTGTACTTGTAGAACTTCCCCTGCTGTTCTCATGAGTGTGCTTTAGGTTTTTAGTAGTTCGGGTGTGTGTGGTTTGGGTTTTGTTTTGTTTTGTTTTTTGTCTTGGAACATAAGTATATGAGTAGTCTTTTACTCCCCCACACGTTAAATAGTATGTGATTCTGTGTTTCTGAAATGGTCGCAGAAACTGAAGCTCTGCATTGAAAGAGCACTGGGGAAGCCGCGCTGTAAACCAGCTTGATTCGGTGTGTGGATTGTAATGGAGGGCCACAAGATGGCACAATTGCTGTTTGCAGAGGAGAATGTGTGTAACATTACCCTTTAATGGCCTATTTTTCCCAAGAGAAAGCAAGCAGAATATGCTTTCTTTTGAACAAAATTGCTTAGGAAAACAGATTTTATTTATTTGCTTTTCTTGATTTGCTGTTCAGGAGAAAACTTAAGTGAGTGGCATTAATCGTCTCTGAGGTTATTTGTGTTGATATAATTTCCACTGTAATCATCTGAATTTATCTGTTTGGGCAGGAAAAAATCTTATTTAACTTTATCCAGGAGGATGCGTTCATAGATTTATAATCTTTTTGTTTTTACATGTATCAAATGAAAGGCTTTGGCATGTCATTTTAAATGATTTTGTGGTGTATGAAATCATACTAACAAAGTGCTTAGTTGAAAATGTGTTTGGCGTGGATGTTTTTGGCTTCTAAATAAAGATCTGGAAGAATTTGAGAATGCTAAAATGCTCCTGGATGTCATCAGTTTTGTACGTGGCTGAATTTTGTCACTAGGCACGCCGCTAGTTCCTTTAGAATTGTTTTCCTGTCACATTTATCTGGAGCTTCCTTATGTGTATGTTGCTGAAGATAAATGCCTAAGTCTTTAAAATCAGTTTCTTTTGCATTCTCCCCTTTCTAGTCATTCCTGTATTCCATTAATCAGACAATATGCCTGCGGTTGGACAGCATTGAGGCAAAGTTGCTGGCACTAGAGGCTACCTGTAAATCACTGGAAGAGAAGTTGGATCTTGTCATGAACAAACAGCATAGCCCCATCCAAGTCCCCATGGTGGCAGGTTCTCCTCTTGGTGCTACGCAGACATGCAATAAAGTACGATGGTAAGAAAAGAACAGATTACTCATCAACGTGCTTTTTAAAATAACGTAAATCCATTTCTTTGGCATCAGGCTCTGCAGCTTTCTGTATAGCTGTCAAGAGCCTGGTATGCTGCTTATGAATGTAGAATTCATTTATCTCGAAGGTAATTTTTGTACCAGTTTCATGATGTTACTTAGAATGAGACACTGGTCCGTGGACAGTTTGCAACTATTTCCACATTTCATTTTGACTTAAACCAGTCTGATTCATTCGTCCTCTGGAAAAGTCTCATCAGCTATTTTAGACAGGTTTTTTAGACTTGCTTTACTTTATTTATGTGGCTGTTTTGAGTTAATGAGTTCATCATCATTCTAATTGCTTCTCATTTGACTTTTACTCCCCAGAAATACAATGGAGTTTGTTTTATGTGCTTGTTTTCTAAAGACTCTTGCTAGAATAATATCTGTGCTATTTTGGGGTTACAAGTTAGAGATGGAAAATCTGTTAAATAACCTAATCCACTTTGATGAAAGAGCAGGTTTGACCTGCAGTACTTCTATGTATGTGTTGCCTAATATGGTTTTAAATATCTAAATCTTGATGTGCCTGTCATTTTACTGTGGAGATGATTCCAGCCAGAGAAATATGCTTATCAAAAGACTCTTTTGTCTAACAACTTTTCCCTCCTCATTCATACTTTATAGCTAGGAAAAGCTTAATACTTCTCTAAATAACTACTTTTTATTCTCCATTACAAAGTTGTATAGGCAAATTTCACGTGTCATACCATTCTAGTCAAGATATAGGAAATTTATCTTTTGTCAGTCTGTTAGTCTGTTTTTCCATCTTCTAATCTTTTTCATCACTCTCTGAACTTTCTCATTATCTGAAAATTATTTTAAATATGTTTTTGGTATGTTATACTCAGTGCAGTGTTTCAAGTGCACTACTCTAGAGCTCTATAGAAAAAATTAGTTCCTTGCTTTATGTTGCGGGACCCATCCATGTGAGGTAAGGGGAAAAAAAAACCAAAACTACCGCAAACATTACCCTTTTTCTGCCAGGCCGCTACTTGCTCCCTGCTGGGTTTATTTTTTTCTTACTTTCAGTATTGCTATTTTTATAATAGGTATGCTAAGTTTAAGAATTTATGTCAAGGTCGTAATCGCATTTTATTATGATACCTTTCAGTTCAATCATTTATGAAACAGGATGGAGTATAACCTTACTACTGTAAGGGTCAGAGTTGGGGATTTTCACCTAAGAGGGATACACTCTGCTGACGTAGCTGTACCTGTTGCATATTGCAGCCTGTTACCTCACTGTTGTTCGTTGAGCGTGATGACTTCTGATGAACATAGTCTAGCCTTTTTAAAGGATACCTTATTTGTACTTAAAAATCTAGAATGATACAGAACCCAATGTGTTGCTTGATCTCCGATTTCAAAGATCAAATGTCCTTTTTATTTTCAGTGTAAATTTGAGTACACTCTGTGCCTTTTGCTGTAGCAGTCACCTGTCCAGCTAGGAACAGCTGATATCCTCAAAGTTCTCCAAACTTTCCATTTAAGATGTTCAAATACAATGTTTGGGCCCCGGTTCAGAATTCCTTTATTGGTCTTTGTTCTTGTGGTTGTGGTGAACATCCTGACCATTGGACATCCTCCTTTTTCCCGTGTTACATTTAATTTTTCTTTAAAATAGGCACTGTGTCTACATTTACCTTTGAATGGGAAGCCTTCAAACACATACGTTGAAAAGATCAATTATGTCTGAATTCTTTATTGAAAGAAATAAAGTACATGGAATAACTATTTGGACCATAGAGCAAGTAACTAGAATATTACACCAGTGTTTTCACTGAACAGTCTTTATCAATAGTTATTTCTCAATGAACCACCTTTAAATCTGTAATTAATTTTTTTGTCATTATATTAGAGATCTTCAAGCTCTTGTGTATAAGCTGAACTTCTTATGGCGGTCTGTGCACAAAAGACTTCAGAAACATTTTCAGAAATACATGGCCCCTTTGGGACTCTATTAATTCATGCTCAGTGAATGCTTTCCTCTGTAAATTGTACTGTTTTGAGTTTCTTAGGGGATTTGTCAGACCTGAGGTTGGTTTGGGGTCTTTTTGTCTGGTTTTTTGTTTGTGTTTTTTTTTTTTTTTTTAAGATCTGTAACCATTGGAAATCTGTCCTGTGTGTTAATGCTGAGCTCTTGGTGTTTATAATATTTTGTTTTGGGTGTACAAATTTATGATGACAGCTTCTCAGACAGTCTGATAGAAGCCTGGAAGACTGCAAGATTCTCTGCCCCAAATATTTGTTCGTGTTGATATGAAGTTGCACATTATCAGATGCATCTTGCCAGTAAAGCACTGAGGGCTTTTTGTTCTTTTAGCTGTCTGTGGCCTATATGACTCAAAAGAAAATGGTTAGGGTGTATATATTTAATTTGGCGTTACTAATGCTTCAATTTCACAGTGATAGAATGTTTCACTTGACTTCCCTGTCTCTCATTCAGAAAAACCTTTATCACTTGTTGATTACTTCCAATTAAAGCCTGCATGGACTGTTCTGTTCTATCTGCTCTCTGGATCGTTCCCTCTTCCCCTTACATTGCAGATGGGAGTGGGGAGCTGCCACCAGGAGCGAGTATTTTGGATAGTGATTTTCAGATTCTGCATCTGAATGAGATTCTTCCACATCCTTCTCCTCCTTCTGCCATTACAGCAATACCGGGTTTGCCGCTCTAACAAAACCAGCATAGTTAGCAAAAGCATGTCAACCAGATGGTGCTACACTGCCAGTAAAGCAGCCTCTTGTTTGTTTGTTGGTGAATACCTTAGGATTTGTTATCTCTTCTCTTCCACTCTGTAGTGAATTTTGTTTACAGTTTTTCTGGTACTTTAGTTACTTGCATTAATTTGGTGCAGATGTAACATAATCAAAATTTATTTTACAGCAACGCACACAGTAAAGTGCGTGAACTGTGCAGTATAAATTCACGCAGTTTGATTGCTTTGTGCTATTTGTGCTTTTAAAATTAAATGAATTCCCTAAGACTTGTCAGTTTGAAATATGCTTAGGTCATCATGCGATGAAAACGAGGAGAGCTTGGACAGAGGAGCTTTCTTCTGTGTCAGCTCGTGATGGAATTGTGTAGTTACAGCATACCAGGTGAATTCACAGCTATGCACCATGGCCTGCCTTGCCTATGATGTGGAATTTTATGCTGTGTGCAGCACTGTGCACTGGCTGTTTATAAGCCGCAGTGATAATCTGTCCACATCGCTGCATGAGGGAGACAGGAGTCTCGCTTTGTAACGGTTGTCAGATTTCCGTTCAATAATAAGTTGTCTCTTCTAGTAAACTTAACACATTGATTTATTGGGGTAACTCATACCTTTTTTTGGTGCCAAACTGTTGTTTCCAAGTTTTAAAAATTCTTATTAGGGAAATGAAGCAGACGTTTTGAAGGAGAATTGCGATAAATCAGGAACCACCCCGTGTTATTAGCTCCCAGGACAGAAATGCAGTGCATTTTAGAGTCTCATTCTGCTTTCTGTCTCTTTATTAAACACACGAGGAATGATATGTGTGGAAATCTTCCAACAGCTTTTTCTGGGTATGTGATTTTTTGAAGGCTTGCTGATGTTTCTTGGAAAACTACGAAATGCTGAATTCAGAAATTATAGTACTGTCTGCTGCTCTTGATATTTTGTGTAAGTACATCTTCATGAAAGCTGGATTGTGTTCTTGAATCTTTTGTTCATATTGTCTACTCTGATATGCTGTTAGGGTATTTCATTATATCCTAGCTAATTGCAGTGCAGATAAGGAAGAAAATAAAGGGTACGTGGTGCTGTGTAATGAATAATTTGTATGAACAATTTAGATACAGAGGAACAATAGGCTAACTTTTAGATCTCCAAGTAAGAAGTTTAAGCTACAGTAAAAACTAACAGAATACTACTTTTGAAAGGAAGGCATTCTGAATTTGTGAGATGTAAACTGTTTTGGGGGAAACAGCAACAGGTCTTAAACAATATGGAAGGACTTGTAGCTGTTGTATTTCAATAAATAATCACGTGAAAAGCAGAAGTTAACAAGCGTAGTTTCACGTAGGTTTTTGTCCTATGTCCTCTACCTTTTCACTGGACGAGTCCCGTGTTGCCAGTATGGTCCATGATGCTTCCTGCTGTGGGATTTTGAGTTCTTCCATGCTGTTCCCATGATGGTAGCATATGAGACTGCTGGAGCTAGCTGCTGTGGGGTAACAGATGAGACCTTTCTGACTTTCAATTAGTGGGGTGTAGCATTTGGGCTTGTCCTTAGCCCAGCCTCAGATGTTAATGGGTGTTTAATGTCTCTCAGACCTCTCTTTTTGTCAGATTTGGTGATAAAAGTGCAAAGTAAACAGCGTGATGTTAAATTTCATTTTCTTTGAGGGGGGAAAAAAATAAAGAAGAGTTTTTAGAAAGTATTTTCTTAATGCTCAGTGGCTGCTGCTTAAAAATACGTAGCTGTCAGGATTACCTATAAAGACAGAGCGTTAATAGTTTTAAAAATTTCTTTCTCAGAAGAAAGACTGTCAGAAGGTTTCAGAACTAATGGAATGGATGGCAAAAATCCTTAGATTGCACAGGGGCGTGTTGAACTATATGGAGCTTGAAAAGAGCCAAGAACAGTAGCAAAATAATGTAATAAATTAGTAATGGGAGTATATGTATTGTCCCAGTGTTCTGAGCTTTGTCCAGCTTTCTGCAGCGTTAGTACAGCCCTGCTTTTCCATCCAGGAAGAGATTGTCTCTCTTCCTCTGTCTGCAACGTTTCCTGGCAGTATGGCTATTAAAAACCGCTAATTTCTTTTCTTTATGAGGTACCATGCTGGTCAAAAATTCCAGTAGCTGCTGAAAGTTTCTTGGATAGGAGAATTGGTGCAACGCCTGATGGCCTGTCAGTATGGCAGCCTTAAATGATAAGTTTGAAATTTAGCATGTGCCCGGGTCTTGAGA